TTCTTGTTCTTGTTGTTGTTGTTGTTGTTGTTGTTGTTGTTGTTGTTGTTGTTGTTGTTGCTGTTGTTGATGTTGTTGCTGTTGCTGCTATTGTTCTTGGTGGTGTTGTTGTTGTTGTTGTTGTTGTTGTTGTTCTACAAGAACCAAGCAACTTTTACAAAGTGACATCCTAAAAACAAATGCATATCATCTTCCTCTAAATCACACCTTGAGCAGATAAGTGAAATATGTCTAGAAAAACGACCAGCTCTTTTACCTGTGGCTAGGGCTCTTCTCAATAGTCTCCAAGCAAAGGTCTCGACTTTTGGGATCATGTGCTTCTCAGCCCAAACCTAATTAGGCAAGTTAATAACCTGTTGAGATACTTGTTTAGGCATCTGGTTCTGGGGTAACTACAATTTTTTGAAACAATGTCGATCTGCACTTTTTGTAGAAAACTTCCCTACGGGAGTCAGTTTCTAAACAAGCATGTTTTGGACCACATCATCAATGACAAGAGTGTTTAAAAAGGCTGTGGCCACATGTGGTGTAAAAAGAGAGTCAACTAGATCATGGTTCCAAGCCTTAAGATTTGGGATCCACAAGTCTTTAATAGTTGCATGATAGTAAAAAGGTGGATGTTGAATGACAAGTTTGTTATAGATGTTCCGCCAACAATTAAACCGAGGTGTACTCCAAATGGAAGAGGAGCCATCAACAATTTGTGTAAAACAAGAAGATTCGAAAAGAGGTTTAACCTTTAAAATGGCAGCCCGAAAAGTAGATTTAGGACAACTAGAATTAGCTCTCGAAATAGAAGTGTCAGCATGGTATTTTGACTTCAAAATAAGAGCTAGATTACTAGTTGGTTCTTGAGAAATTCTCCAAGGTGCAGAGAGAATCAAGCTCCGATTCAAGGCCTGAAGATTTCTAATACCTAGACCACCACTTTTCTTGTCAGTGCAAATATTCGCCCATGCCCTTATGCAAAGATATCTAGAAGTGTTTATCATCTTTTATCCTTGTCCACAAAAATCTCCTAATAATAGCAGTGATACTAGCAAGAATTTTTTTGGAGAAGAAAACATTAGACATGTAATAAACAAAGATAGAAGAGAAAACAGATTTAATAAGAGTAAACCTAGCGGAGTGAGACATTCTATTTGCCTTATACATTGTAAGCTTGGATTTAAACTTGTCTTCCACAAATGAATAAGCAGTGGATCTATCCTTAGCAGGAAAG